CCATCTTTTTAATTAATACAATCTACATATTTTTATGCAGTACCTAAATTCAATTCCTTGATATAATTCTGTTTGTAAACAGGAGATGAAGTGGAGCCTAATTTTGTATTCGTGCATTCTAATATTAATTTGCATAAATCAGAAATCGCAGAGGTATTCTTAGAACTACTAATGTTTGTCTTATACAGCAAACTCCTGGGATTCTAATTCGATGGGACTTGGGTAAAATATGCCTCAAGGAAACTTCTACCCTCGGAAATATTTAAGCGTATTCAGACTTAGGATTGGTACACACTTAGGATTGGTAGCATGTCCACATATTCATCATTAGTAAAATTTGGCATAATTCTTGTTAATTTACACCCAAAAAGTATTTAGCTGATAACAGTGACAACTTACAGAAAAGTTAATTGTGACAACTGGGATGACAGCAGCACACTTAGTTTTTCTTTGATTAATTGCAATCGTATACGGTGTGAGGTGAGGTAATACATTTTATTTTTTTATTAATAAACGAAAAGTTTTAAAGGAAAATTGCTAGAGAGGTAAAAGTTTCTAAAAGAACCAGTTTATCTAATGCGTATTTTTGGATATCGAGTTTTTACGAAATATAAAAGTTATGGCAAAAAATGGCTTAAGGGGTGGTTATTTCAACCCTTTTCGAGGGGTTAAAATGTTCGAAAAATAGTTGAAAACTCGCATCTGTATGACTGTGAATCCGTAAAAAAAATATAAAAAAATTATTAAATTCATTGAAATAAAATTTTTGGAATTTATAGCAATGAATTATACTAATACCTAGTAAACAACCAGCAATTGGTCAAAACAGAAACAAAAAATGAAAAAATCAACAAAGATGTTTTAATATAATATCTACGAACATAGTTTTCAAAATCAAAATATAACTACCACTCCTAATTAATAACAATTATTTCCAGAAATATTAGAATCGTCAGAGTGGGGATCAATTTGAGGGTGATTGATGTAACTGCATTCACATGAGAAATCAGAGATGATATAAAAGATAACAATGGCAAAGTTCCTTCTGGCCTGTATTCGATATGTTGCACAAAGAAGTTTCCATTTGGTCTCAGTATTTAATTGGAAAAAAGAAATCAACAGCTGTCGAAGGAGTCTGACAAAATCTAGAGAGACTGAAGTTACAAAAAATTCCTTTTTCGTCCTCAACTTTTGAATTAAATATTACTTCAAAATACAGGGTGTCACCTAAGTACTTTAGTGGGGTGTATTCCTGAGTTGATTCTAAGAAAAAAAGTTTATATAAACCTTTGTCCGAAAATGCTTCGTTTCTAACATACAGGGTGTTGAAATTAAAATTTTATTTTCAATTTTCTTAAATAACTTTTACGAAGACAAATTTTTCGCACAAAATTTGGTAACCGTGGGTGTTTTGAGGTGAGAAATCTTAAATTAGGAATCAATTTTTGTGCAGCACTTAAAGGGCGCTACGTACGCTATCATTATTAATTTTAATTTGCTATAACTTTTTTGTCAGAAGACTTTTATTATTTTTTATGAATAAACCATATTCCTATACCCTTTTTAAGTTAAAAAGGTACACTTTACGCTAGAAACCACCGTTCTCGAGAAATTTCTGCAAATATGGAATTTGCTGAGTCCCTTAAACGTTAAACGATAAGAAATATTCCTGGTATTTTCCGGGTATGGGACTCTTTGGTGAGAAGGGAATAAGCTTGTATTAATGTCGGGGGTAGTCACTCTCAGCAGCTGTTGTATCTAATAATGATTTGTTTAATTTTAATGTGTCTCAGAAACGAAGCACTTCCGGACAAAGGTTTATATAAACTTTTTTGTTAGAATTAACTCAGGAATACCTCACTTAAATATTTTAACGTACTTAGGTTACACCCCGTATATTAAAAATTTAGCTAATATGTTAAATTATGTAATTTTTCAACAGTTTTATTTACGACATGTCATAGAACTCTATTAAATTTATTCCATAATTTTCTATTTTATTATTTATTGCAGGAAGGATATGTTTCAGCATAATTGTTATCAAATCAGTATATGCTATGTTTGTGCCATACATTTACGCAGTCACAATTTTAATTTAAATAATAGCACTGCTAAATTTCTTTTCCTGTGAGAAAAAAATTTTTCATGTTGTGTAAAATAGAGTGACTACAAAAATGTTAAGTACTTGCTTAAAAGGGATCCATTAAAAATGTTGATAGTACTTAGGTCCTTTTAAGGGACATAATAATTATTCACTTCCTTTTCATGCAATTATCTGTGAAGGAATTGACATTTCCGATACTGTTTAATACTTATCTTCCTGTCTCTTTATTTTAAAACAATTTTGTTTCTAGATCATTAAAATTAAAATTGATTATATTAATATCATAATTTAAAATTAATCACATTTCAAGAAAGTTTCCTTCTGATAAAAAAGTAAAGAGTAATTAATGTTTCTATTTTATACAAAGATCTCTATAGATTAAACGATTTTAATTTCTTCATTTTGTTAACTGTTTCTTTTCTAATTTTAATCACAGAAATTAATTAATTATCTTTTAGGATGACGTCGATTTTCACTAATCTTTGTTTACATGTAGGTCTAATAATTGGAACTAATTAACAAAAACATCTTACGAGTAATGCATTCCTAATAATTTGTTTACCATTCTAAAACTGTCACACTTATAAGGTAGATAAGAGTCATTTTACTATTAGTAATATACAATAACGTAGGTATGAATATTTTTACGACACACACTTCATTATAAATTGCCTAATTAACCCAATGTGTGGAAGAGGACAGAGTGAATCTAGTAATACAGTGGCAACTATTTACAGCGTTGGTCTTTAATTATATAACGATGTTGAGTTATTATTAGTTTTAAGCTTAAAATAGGGGTCACATTCTTTAATCAAATATTCAAAGTACGTTTTTAGTAGCCTTTATTTTAAACACTACAAGTGTCATTTTACTTTTTTAGCTAATACAAAATTTGTGTTCCATTAAATCAAGGCGTATCAAGAAAACTATTGCCCATTTTACTCAGGAAGGGTGGTTAGCAGAACTTCAGTATGGTATTTGTCATAAAACTAACTTACTGATGCAATATAAGGTTATTTAGAAACACTTCTTCATTGCAAGAAGACATAGCCATATACGCAGATCAAGTGGGCTTCAAGAACAGCAAATTGAATTGATTTCACTTTCAACAGTTTCTCCAGATCTTAATCCTACAGAATACAAATGGAGATATATTTTAATAAAAGTGGAATGAATAACAAACCATGAAATGAAATTACATTTTGCGAACTTGTGTTTTACTTTTTGAACTGACAGCTTGACACTGACCACCAACATTTCCAAGACCATTCCAGCCAGTAATTTCAATCTCGCCTTTGTTGTGAAGCTGTCGTGATATAATTAATTTTAGGGAGGTCCATTTGGGAGAGGCATCGTAACATTATCATACAAATTGTACCTACTTAAAGCCTTATAACATAATTAATTGGTCAGTTACACCTTATCGGTCAATTGGGAACCTTCACGGTCGTTGACAAATTATGACATTAATTTATTACTTGTTTAGAGGTCCTAAAATTTTTTACTTATACGCGGTAGGTATATCGAATTAAATCTAATTTAAAAATCTAAGACATTTGCGAACGTTGAAAAAAAACAAAAATTAATTTTAAAAATTTGATAGGATTTGTTTGAATCAGCTCAACATCTTAATAAAGAGTTAAAACTTAATGTACTTGCCGTGAAAATTATGAGCAAATGAAGATCACGCACCTGTAAGATACAGAATTCTGTTTTGCAACAATTCTTTGGCTGCTACTAACCCAAAGTTAGTGTATTATGCAAGTACCTATATTAATTTACTAATACGATGTTTAAATAATATGTAACTATAATTGTTCTGTTGCATATGTGTCATGAAATTCATGTTTTTTTTTAAATTATAAGTGAAAATCTAAAGAAGCTAAACACAGAGGTACATATACTTCGTTTTAAAAACAAACGATGTATTAAAATACATTTTCAGTCAATAAGAATAATTGCTTTTATACAAACTTGCCAAAAACTTAAACTGTATACAAGTCGGTAAAATTACTTACTTCAAGTATACTTACTATGTTAATTGTTGTCAAATTCAATACAGATTACAAAATATTTTTCTGTTTATCCCTCTTGTTTTGATTTGTAACTATTTATCTTTAAAATAATGTGAAATTGTATAGCGCACGTAGGTATATTCATTTCGTACTAGTTCTTAAAATACACAAAATTCTCGTGTAACAAACATAAACAAATGATTAATATAGTCGAATATTCCTATATTATAGGATTTTACGATAAAAAAAACATATTTAGATTAATTGTTTACAGAATGATATAATATGATAATTCCTATCCCATTTAAGGTTGACTTTATCTAAGTGTATCAAAAATTATTACAACAGAGCTATTAAATCAAGTAAATCTCTTAATTAGAGATACTAGATAAAGTTTAGATTTTGTGTACTAGGGAAGAATTTGTTTATTTTTTATATTTGTGTTGTGTCTTTAAGTTGTGTTATTCATTTTATGTTGTGTCTTTATGGGCATTTTTCATTTTAGCTTGTGTATATGTATAATGTATTGTGTTTTACTAAAGCATATGACTGTTTTACACTACTGTTATTTTATTTAATGTAAAATAGTTTATTAAGTTTTATTACTTTTAAGTTTATTTTTGTTTTTTTGCCTTCGAAATGTTTTATCAATTGTTACTGTCATTTTTCTTTTTTTATATATTACATATTGTGTTCCCACCCATTCAGTAATTGGATATTTTCTGTTGAATGATGTGTCAAAATAAATAAATAAATAAATATTTCATTTCAAGTAATTTAATTTCATAAGATGACTTTAACTTGAGAGAAAATATGGATACTCATACCAGTTTGCAATAACATATATATTATCTGTGGATTTAATATAATTTCTTACTCACTGGTTATGCAGAGATCTCGAATAACAATCCTAAAAGTTCTTAAATTGAATAGAAACCACAACCACCCAAAGACAAATAAATAAAACTACCACCAACGAACAACAATCGAAATACCGACAAACAGTTACTTCACTCGGCGAATGTTTTATTCTGGTTGACAGGTAGATGTGGCTCGAGAGAAGACCGCGTGGTATGCGACAGACATCTTCCTGAAATAGCGTCCTGGCCCGACAGGAATCATCCGCGAACTGTAAAATCCCAATTCGCAGCAAGCGTATGCAGTGCTTTGAACACAGCGTCGCGCAAGCGTCTTTCAGCAACAGATAGCTGTTGCATGAAACAAAAGAAAAGGATTGGGACATGGATGGGATGAGGGGGCGATGCTTCCAGAGGTGATTTTTTTCTCAGATGTGCGAATACAGGCGTACACTGATGTATTACAAGACAATGTTTGTATATTAAAGCAGTAAATGTACAAGGATTCACCTAGGTGTCCTTTTTCGGACTGAGGAGATAGTAGATTGTACCATTACGGACTGTTTCACATTTGAGTTATCCTGGGTCTCGAATGTAACCTGTTGAAGAATTTCCGGATTACCCAATTATTCTCGAGAACACTCGGACACTTCTGGGATAGAACCATTCAAGTGAGATTATGGCGGTTTAAACACAGGGCTTGTTGAGTTCTGAGGATTGTGCGGGAGACCAAAAAAATGTTAGATAGATGCTAGCTTTTTTAAAAGTTCCAGCTTTATTTTGTTTTTTTTTTAATTGCTATATCTACGATCGTACATATTTTGACAGTTTGTTTTATATATCTTCCAGTGTAATAAATTAGTTATTATCAGAATCTGTGCAATAATAGTTATTTATACCATAAAGGAGATAAGTATTATTTACCAGTATGTCACGTACGTTTATAATTACTTCTCTTCTGGGTTCTGTTTCTCAGATTAGATTGGAAATTAAAACTGAAATTTCACGCTTTTTTATGCGCTATCAAACAGGTAGATGTTACAACCAACCAGTCGGCAAGAATACCCTTCCTATGATTCCTAATAAGATTGCACAGTTTTTGAAACTAAAACATCCTGAAACATATACAGGACATTAATTCTGAAGAACATCGGCAACGTTACTGGCTAATACAGGAGTTGATGTATTAGCAATCAAGAGACATGGTGGGTGGAAATCAGCCACAATTGCAGAAAGTTATGTTGCTGACAGTTTAAGTAACAAAAATGAAATGGCCAACAGGATCCAACTCCAGGTGCTAGTAGTACGTCGCATCATGCTATTTTAATGGACAAGTCAGATAATATTGAGACTCCGATCCACAAACCTCAAAGGTAAAGTTCTAAAAAGAAAATAACACATCAAACAATTTTTGCAATAGGTTTTCATGGAAAATACTTAATGGAGAAGGTAAGTAATACTTGCCTTTTTCTAATTAATAGTTAATCAAGTTTTGTGTATTTATTTGTAGTTTTGATTAACATTTGGCGCAGCTGACAATTGTCAATACATAAATAGATAGAAATACAAAGAAATAATCATACAACATCAACAAAGTGTCAAAGTAACGAGAATTTCTGAAAATGACAAAAGAAAGCACTAAGCCTTCGCTATAAAAAAGAAAGTGAAATTCGAACAGTTTGAAATACGCATAAGTTCAGCTTCGATTTGCAGTTGATATTCTTGTATCGAGAGAAGAAAATAAAGAAAATAATGCTGTTTCCATTAATGTCAATGTTAAATATTTTTTTTTTATTTTCCGCCTGAAGCTTATGACCATTAGCGTCACATAACTTCTATGATTCTAGTGTTTTACTAAAATAAAATTCAGTGTTTTATTAGTCTCATTATAGGCACATCAGAAAACCACCGAAATAAACAAAGCAAAACTAAAATTATGCCACAGATAAGTAATTTAAAGCAATATTTCACTTTATTCACATAGTTTTCCAACTATTTATATAAATTTATCGTTTCACTTGTTTTACTATTGATGATCTAAACAAATTACTTTTATTTTTTCTTTGCGAAACCAAAACATTAAAAATTTGTTTGGTATTTATTTCTTGTCAGTGGGATAGAAGATATTTGTAAACAAATATGACGCTGCTAGATTGGATGCGATGTAATAGAATGAGAGATTACACATGAAAAATTAAAGACAAAAGAAACGTGACATTAAGTGATTAAATAATTATTGGGTTTAAAATTGACGTAAATATATTTTACTCTAATGATACGCTATAGAAAAGATACATACACAAGAGTAATAAATATTAACATTTCATTGGTTTACTTAATGTATAAGATGAAGAAATAATAGAAGAACAATGGGCTTATTGCTTTGAACAATTGTGCCTTTTAATAATAATGTATTCCGTTGATGTTGTTTTTATATACCTACCAAATTATAATTTATCTTATTACTTCTCTACATTTACAGTGGAATTAACTGTTTGTTCTGTTTTCGTTATTATTAAATAAAGATACTTATTATAATTCATCAAGAAATATTGCTGTTTTAGCTTCTACTTTAATACCAAAAATTTCTTGGAAATTACACATATTATTCCATATCGCTGCTTAAAGAACTGAAATAAATTATTTAAAAAATTGGCGAATTCGCCAGTATTAATCCGTAATTTCTCTTTAACGCAAAAGCTCATTATCTCTATAATATATTCTCACTAAAACAGCTTTAATTTTGTAGGTACATGCTTAGTATTACAGGATTAAAATCTGACGTGTATCCTATTGTAAATTATTACCCCCATTACAATTTTATTATTAATTTCTTGTTTATGAAAACTTTCAAAATAGAAAGTTGTAGGTACATAAAAAAATATGTAAGATCAACGTCTTTGAAAAATAAATGACACTGACGATGATTTTTGATATTTAATACACATCTAATAAAATACACATCTAATAAAATAATAGGTCATGTTTATCAATGGCAAATAATTTTCTATAAAGTTAGTAAAACTATTTACTATATCTTTCCGTGAAAATTTTCCCAAATTTCATGCAAAATTTTACATGTTTCCATTAGTGCGTAACACAAAAAGTTCGATTATTTTCTGAGCAAACCTCGTATTTATGAGCCTCGTTCATTAAATACATTTAAACATTTTTTTTTATCATGGATGTACATAAATGTATGGATTATTGTCGGACAGGTTTCTGGAAAAGCAGAAAAGCAAACGTGCGATATTGTTTATACTTCAGTATGAGCCGTTATTAAAACCTTTTTTTAATTTCACTGTTTGTCGTCATCCCCGTGATATTTTATATTCAGCAGTCGTTTGTTCCAATGCGCGTCGATAACAGAAGCTTTAAACGTTTTAAAGTAATAACGGAAACAGATCGTTTAAAGAATACTGATGAGTGTAATAAAAATGCAAAATTTATACACTTTACGGATTTTAGGTCCGTCTCCTTTTTTATTTTTGCAAGCTGGGATTTGATTTAAAATAATGAGTATTTTTACTATTCCCTGCCTCAGGATTGCAGTAATTGATCTATTTGTGTGACATAATGGTTATGTGTTGAGATTTTACGGTTTTTGTCAAACGCAAACAAATGCCTTATTATGAATGTGGATACATCCGAAACCATATTTTCACTTGCCAAATACTCGCCAAAGCCATACTAATACAACAGGGTTCATTTCCACACAATGGACAAGGTACACAAGTGGTTGACTTACGGATAATTAATACCCGAATAAACACATTTTTTTGTGCTTGATGAATGTTTGTAGATTGATGGCTTCGTCTGGAGCTGGCTTTGGAGAAATATATTTTTTCATGGTAAAGAATAATAATTTCTTCCTAACATAATAGTCTCATGGTCTATCAAACTTTGAAACACTGTAATCCTGAGAAAGATTTTCTACAACACGAACTGCACAAAAACGCAGAAATGACGAAGAAGAAGTATGTCAAGTGTTAAAAATCTAGAAAATATGTTTGTTGACTAAAATCGCATTTATTCTTGTTTTGGATCATTATGTGAATTCTTTTATCATCATTTCAGGGAAAATTTTATTTTTGGGTGTGGTTTAGTGAGTTTATAGAAAAGTCAACACTTACTCGATGTTCCTTGATATAATATACAGAGATAACTAAAAATACTTAACCAAACTTTATCTGTGGAATCTGTCATAACGTGTCCCAAAATATTTTGTTTCCGGGGCAGATGATAAAGTTTAAAAATAATCGTGTTCTTAATCACAAGAAAGTAGCTCAAGCCATTACATCAATTCATTTCCTCATTTGTCTATCTCGAAGCGATTTCTATGATATTGCTTGCTTTCTGTTCAAATATTTAGATTGCACAAAACTCGTGGATAACATTTCAGGTTATATCTAATTTGTTTTAGTCCATTTCTTAGTAGGAAATAGTCATTTCTTAATATTCGTAGTATTAATTCACATTCACCTCAATTTTTGGAATTCTTTTATTATTATTATCTATCTACGTGTCCTTATCTACCCCACTTCAGATAATTGGGCAATGGTATGAGAAAAGCAATTAAGCAAAAAAAGAAATAGAGAAAAACTTGATCTATTTTGAAGTATGAACCTACATTTTGCCAAAGTTTTGATTTGTTATGAAATCGCAAAACAATTTTTCTCTGTAAAAACACCGGTTGTACCCATTCATGTTTATTACGTCGGTAACTACTGCTGTCGCTGTTTAATGTAATTATTCCTATTCCTTAAGGCAATGCATTTTGAGATCGGTCGTTCAACTAAATAAAACAGATGTAACCATTGCCTGACCGCTAGTAAGTACTTACTAATAATGGTGATTTTGGTGCTCATAAACAATAGACCGTTTGGTAAAACGGACATTCATTAGAATCATATTTCTGAAGATGCCCAAGAGACAATTAGTGGATTACATTATAGGATTCGCGTGACTCTATTAATTCATTAAACAATAAATACACGAAGCTTTTGAGTAATTGAGTTTAGACTTTCATGTAACGTCCCTATAACAATTAGTCCATTAGAACTAACTCTTGACGTGTCAGTTTATCATAGAATTCAAGGAAAAAAAATTAATTTATTTGGACCAAGTCAGGAGGCAAACGTTTCTTGAATATCGTTACAAGGACAATGTAATAAATTTTATTTTGAAGGACAAACATAATTCCCTTTTGCTTTCATCATAAAACGATGTTAATTGGGTTTTATGATCTCATCT